ATTCTACGTTATTAGTCGTGCGATATTTTGTTGATAGTATTCCATCGATCGTTCTAAAATATTCATAAAAGCACAATATCCGACAATGCGTTAAAAAAAGGAAAAAGAAAGGAATTGAAGTAGTGAAAATTTAACTATTTTCCTTTCCACTCAGGCACTCGATACCCCGAATAAAGGGAAACAAACGAAAAACGCTTGCTTTTCTGTCGCCGAAACGCAACGTCGAGAGACGGAAAACGGGATCTCGAAATTTTCACTCGAGAGTTTTTAATCCCTCCTTTCCGCGCGCTTTTGTTTCCGGCGGCAAGAAAACGCAAGTGCGGCAAGAAGTGCCGAGTAAAAATTGAATGGCAATTTCCAGCCAGGCCGGGCTTCGATTTTACTTCCATTCTCGAGCGGGATCCGATGAGAGTTGCGAATGCACGAACAAAAGCGTAGCAAGTTTCCGCTCGGATGCGCCGCGGCACACCGAGACAATCGTTATCGAATCAAGCCGGATCGATTGCCATCGGTCACGGTAAATAAATGATAAGCGGTAATTCGTATTTCGAGAAGTTCGATCGCAGCAACGGTGGGTCGAGAAGCGAGAGGTTTTACCGTTTCTGACTCGCGATCGATTCGCGGCTGTGCATCTCGAATAAACAGAAAACCACCCCTTCTGTCCACGTCCGTCATTTCCCAGCCGAAGAGGAAAGATAGTCATCTTCAATTTCTGTTCGACAGATTTCAATTTCATTTAGCAGAATGCTCGTCGTATTGCAGAGAGGAATGAAATGAAATCTTTGTCGAACGACTGTAGAAACTTTCCGTGAATATATTTCGAAGTTTCATTGTCGCTATAGTTCGGAGGCAGTTGTCATAATTGTACGTGCATTTTGAAGCGAAGCTGGACATAAAAAGTTATTACACATAACGTGATTACTGATGCACTGACATTTTTTTCCGACGGATACATTTGAAAATCAATAGAGTCATATTACAGTCTTGCTATAACGTTGAAATTTCAAAATATTTCATGTAATATATACATAAGAGTTTTCCACAATGAATAATGGAATACTGAAACCTTGCTCAGTTGAGCAACTAAACAGAAAACTGAAATGTAACTGAATAACGAAATCTCGTGGCAAAAGAAAATTGTATTTACAAGACCTGTTAATTTTCACTCGATAATAAATGAAAACTATTTCCCGACGATTAGAATTCCCACCGTTCCACCTAAAAGGTCGAAAATACGTCGATAAGGATCGCTTTCTGTTATGAAGCCAGTCGAATGCCTGGTGGTAATCGATGACCGTGTGAAAAATGAGCGAATCGCACGATTTCACCCCTTCCCGAAACGAGACTGCAAACAAACGATCGCGTGCAGAAATTACGATCGCGCAAAGGGTTAATTTATACAAATTGGCCCGGCGAAAAAAAAAAAAAGAAAAAAGAACGAGGGAGGGGAAAATCGTTCGAATAAACATGCTGGGTGAATCGGCAAACACAAACGCTCCGCCAAAATACCATGAAATACAGACTTCTTCTAATTAGAGACCACGGCTGTTCCAACCACTTCCTTTCCATCCACTGTATCGTATGAACAAACAGAAGCGAAATTCGTATCAGCATAATTAGCCGGATCATAGATATCTCTACCCTATCTGGGTTGGTATAATCGTGAAAGAATTGCCGTGGCTCAGCCAGGCAACTAATTGCGAGGTGCATATACCCAGCGGTGGATGTATTTAATTATGTGTATTTTCAAGAAATTCTTACGTTTACGTTTCAATTAATACGCGAAATTTTAATGATGATGACCGAATTTTAAGCATCCAATACTCGAGAGGTGGAGATACCAAAGTTGAAAGGTTACATCGGACAACTTTGAAAATTGGGAAAGAGGGAGAGATTTACATTTTGCAATTGACGATTCTGTTTTCATTGCTTCGTCAAGATCTACAAATTCGTAAAATATCCAACAGTATCCATCATATACGTAATTGCGAAAATTAGCGAAACTGGTAAAATTAATTAGACCTTCGAGAAGTTCACGACCAGAGTCTAAATAACTAACCGCTCTATGTAGCAATCTGCCGCTTTCCCATGCGGTATTTGCTCGCCTAACGTGGAGAACGCGAATTGCTCGCGAGGTAATGAGCGGCAGAGAAACAACAGGGTAAAAGAAGGAGAAAAAAAAGAAACGCAATTATCGCGAAAACGTGGGCGTTATTGGCAAGTGGTTCACGGAGGGAACCGGACGCGTAACGTGTGAACGCGTGTCAGCGCACGCGTTGCTCCGCGGGTCGAAAAATGGCAATGCGGATTGTAAAAGAGAAAAGACAAGAGGGTCAAGTGTCGGTGGTGGTGCATGCAGGCCAGCGCAGCGAGTGCAGAGAGAAAGAGAGAAGGAGAGTTATAACGTTATAGCAATGGGAAAATTGGGGCAGCGCCGTTGAAAACGACGCTTCATAAATTTAAAGTGCGCGCGATATTAAGGCTGGCGCGCGCAATAAAACGAACCCTTTCGGATTCAGAGGCTCAAGAACAACGCTAACTGGCCGAGCCCGCCGAAAGATAAACGCACACGTGCATTCTCCGTTCCTGACCTTATTTTCCAATTCCTTCGGGTTCCGGATATTAAACGATAGAAGGAACGACGAAACGATTTCGCGGGCTCGACGTGGTTTCAGCGTGTTTCCCCGGAGTGTTTACACGTCGTGAAACAAGGCCAGAGGCGCGAGCATAGAGCGCAACATAACACGATACGAGAATGTAACGGAAAGGTACCCGGTAGACGCTTTTCTATTTGCCAACTCTTTTAAATTTCTTTGTCAAACACGCGCTTTCATCCCCGCTACTTCTTCTAACGATCTGCGAGAAGAAATAACACATCTCTACTTGTGCACCGTGCGCAAATCCCCAAGGAAGGAAATTTTAATTGGACGTGAATATTGCATACTGGACTCGCTGTTTCAAGGTATAGGGAAAAGTCAAATATGACGTTCTAAATTCACCGGTAACGTGGACTTCGTCGATAAGGATACATGGAACCGTGCATGGAACGTTCTATAGAGCGTGGGTGGTAACTCAACTGTAGACGCGAGAAATAATTCCTGTATTAATACTCGCTTCGATTGACCTTATACGGTATAAATAATTCTACAGTCGCAATGTGAACACCTTGACAACGTCGATTTGCTCGAAGCGTGACGCAACATGCAAATCGGATGGATAAATTCTTCCAGAATTCGATTTTTTAAATAGAAAAACGAAGGATTATTAATTGCTTGAAGAAAAAAAAAAAAGACTATCTTTCGTATTTAACGATTTAGGACAATTTCATCGAACATTATCAACACTAAGTAGCTCGCTCTTTGATTCGTGGAAACGGGAGCGCGACGATTTGTAAAATGTGTCACTGTCCTAGCAAACCAACCGCACAATTATTCGTACGTGAAATGAAAAAGAAATAGCAAGTTACACGACGTTTTTTTTTTTTTTTTCTTTGCCTTTGTCACCTGACTCACTGCATTGCAGTTGAAAGCACACTTCGGGCAAGCACTCTAAAATTTACACGTACTCAAAGGCATATGGTGCGCGCTCCATGGAAACGTAAGATGTACGTTTATACACATACGTATGTTATACGTGCACGATTATTTTCAATCACGAATGTTTCTTTTTTCTTTTCTTTTTTTTTTTTTAACGTATAGAAAGCGAGCATGCCACGATCCCGAAGAAAATAAACAATTACACCTATAATTCGCATTAGAGCACCGATCCAGTTACGTGAAAGTAAAAGTGGCTGCATTGCGTGTTCTCTACCTACCTAATGAACCGCGGTTATAAACGTGTATTTTATGGACACTGTTAAGGAAAGTTGCCGTCAATTACACCGTATCGTTATTAATATAAGATCGTAAGAAGAAAAAACACGATAAGTCTATTTTTGTAAGTATTCAGATTAAAAGAAAAGTATTTTAATGTATAACAGAATAGTGGAGGTAAAGAGAATATCTTGGTTCAGAGACATAACAAAATACATAACAAATACACAATGTTTAATGTAAGAAACGACGCGTACAATCATTATCTACTAAATATTTTAAAAAATGACAAAAGCACACCAAATGAAAATTGCTCTTCTATAAATGTGACTCGTCATGCTTCTCGGCTGTTGACCTTTTATATATAAAGAAGAAACGAAGCAATTTAATCTTCGTCGAAACATCAATATCGTCGAAACTACATTCGTTCAGAAGATGTTGCTTACATTCGATGGTGTCGTCAAGTGAAAAACAAAAACCATAAGAACCGGGACAAAGACAAAAACAACGTATTATTTTATACAGCGACAGTTTTACGACGCGTTCAACCTTCGACGCTCGTTTTACATAAATCGTATCCCTGACACCAACTAACAAATCTGATCGAACTTTTCGAACTGCCCTCCTATACTAACCTCACGAAAAACATAACCACCTTGCGAGTTCGATTATCGAGTATTTATCTACATCGATAAATGACTGACAGCCAATCGACGCGTTCCAATAAGAATCGTTCCGTCAATTCGAACAAAGCACATCGCGCGAATAAATACGCAACGGAGATCCGACTCTGCGGCTTTTTCCCTTCCGAATCATTACGCAGAAACAAAAGCCAAGAACGATGCCTTTCAACTCGCGCGCCTTTCTCGTTGACTGATCAAAAAATCTATTCAAGTTTTTATTCTAAACAAGGTTACTCTTGCGTTACTCGAGTTTCGTACGAGCACGAACATCAATGTTTTCCGCGTTTTATGCTACAACTAAGGGATACGGGAAAACGCCCTTGTGACCGATTTGATTTATTTATTAGAATCGTTGCATGGTTCGCTACGTATTAACGCGCTTGTCGATTATGCAGTAAAACACGACGTGACATGTCAGCCAGCCGGTGGTGGTGGTAGTGGTGGTGTTGTGCGACAAAGGCAACAATAAGAACGTCGTCGAACAGTAAGTAAGAAGCGGACTTACCTCCTCGGCGAACTCGAAATCCCCGTCAAATTTTCGCTTGCACCTTGCTTCGGTGACCAGAAGCACCAGTAGCACCGTGGCCGCGAACATCCAGGAAAATCGCATGGCTCTTGATCCCGCGGGAGAGCACCGTCCAGCACCGTGAACCAACGAGACGAGGAGACGCCGCGCAGATCCCCCGCAACGCAAACACGTGCACCGTTACCCGATTCGACAACGATACGAACAAAAGCGATCTCCGCGGCGAACGATGACAGGCGAACAGCGTTAAAAACAGGCGCGCACGTATAAACTCCGACACACGTTCTGGTATTAACCGTGTACTCCGCAAGGCGGAAGCGTACAGCTCGACGGTCGAACGAGTTGTGACTGCGCGAACGGAGCCGAGGCGACGCCGCACTACCACAGACGCGTAGCCGTCTATTGGTCGGATTCCGGCGAATGGGGGGGAAGGGACGGTGGGGGCTGCGGGAGGTCGTCTATATAGACAGAACTACCCCTCTCTGTCTGTTCCTTTCCCATGAGCTACGTCTACCTCGGCGAGTCTCCGGTAGCAAGATTCGCGCGAGCGCGTGGTACACTGCGCCAGTCAATACCTCCACCTGCTCTCTCCGGTTCACCTAGCCGGTATTGCCAGCGAGTTGACGAGAGAAAAGAAAAAAGGGCGCGGGGAATTCGGCAGGAGGGCACCAAGAAGGAATCCAGTCTTGTATCGGACACTCGGCCAGAAAGCGGATCGACCTGACAAGATTTTCTTCCTCTTTCCTTTTCTCTACCGTTCCTTTTTCCTCTCACGTAATTTTTTTCCTTCTCGAGTCCGGATCAGATTTGGGGTCTTTTGACGAATGATTCTGAACCAGCCACGAATCTCCTTGACCCGACACCTCTTAACGTTGCTCCCATGTTTCGTTGTATATAGGTTACGTTTCGACTTTAGGAGAATCGAACTGCGATTAAGAATTTTAAAAATATTACTTTATTGTCTCGAGATGGAGATATAATAAGAAAAAAAAAGAATTTTTAATGTTACCTAAAAATAACCTTAAAGAAGTTAGAAATATGCCTTCATTTCGTTCTTTGCATCTCCGCTAACTGTGATAAATGATCCAATTGCAAATGAATCTGGTTGTTCCATTACTTTCTATACTAATGATTCTGAATTAACCGTCACAAACACTTTAAGAAGGAAGTCGAACTTCAACGATTATTTAAAGCCACGAATTGCTACGTATCCGTTACCCGAACTGTCGCAAAAAATGGCGGGAACAATGGCGGGTGGGGGTGCAAAATCGAATCGATCAAGCAATCGCTAATCGATAGTCAAATCACTCGTGAATTCAATTGGCGAGTATCGGACACGCGAAAATCTCGCGAGTTTCTTAAACGGCTTTAAACTCGACATCGTAAAATTAAGTCGTTAACGTGTTATCAAGCTTTTAAGGAAAAGTTAATGTTATCGCGTCGAGCTGAACGAGATTTCCGAGTAATATCACAATAGCGTGTGCATCCATGTTCTGAAGTTGTGTCCGAGATTTTAGGAGCGCGAGATACAAGTAGCAGGTATTGTACCCTCTACCATTCCTTTGAGCTTCGTCTTTTCTTTAAAGGTACTTAGAGACATAAACCTGTATTTCGAGTGGAAAGTTGTCACGGCAATTTATCTTACTATTTTCTTGCCGCGCAACTTGCGCTGTATCTTAACCCGCGCCTCCTTCCTGCTTGTCGAGCTATTTATTCCTCGGGTTGAGAAGTGCACGGACACTTCCCACGGGAGTAGAAACCAGGAAGACAATGTCGCGCAGACATCTCTGCAAAATAGATCGCATCACCACGGGAAAGACAAAGGGGAGAAAGGTTACTGAGCCAACACGAAGAGGTCGCTACTTCATACTTGTTACGTATTGCTTCTACTACTTTGTGGCTGCCCTGCTACGTTAACCACAAATTGACAAAGCGAAGTCTTGGCATTAGAATATGTGCACTTGATTAATTTTTCTGTGAAACATTAGATTACTTTCCCTCTTTGGGACTGTTTAAAGAGTTTGAAATTATTTTCATTATTGCAAAAGACCTTTCTAAAAGTTTACATTCATTGTCGATAGCTGAGAATCATAAGTTAGATGTAAATTTTTGACATATTTGAGGTAGTTCACTTTCTCTCTATATCAGATGTTGCTTCTGTTAGGGATTTATTGTACCAAAGGACCAATTCATCTCGTTGGTTCGGTGTCCTGTAAGACGATGTACATTCCTGGTGGTTCGTGTGTTTAAGCACAGTACAAAGCAGACATGAATGTTTCCTTAGAGACTACTTCCTCGCGAATGTAACAGTTGAACACGCATCTTCGATACAGTTGCAGTCATTATTAAGACAGCATTAGATACATCAGTAATTTAATTTCGGATTAGCTAATTCTTTAAATCTATTATTCTAAATGTACACCTCTAAGTAATTATATCAGTTTTCACATTTAATTTAATTGTCTTTGGGCATATCTTTTCTTTTGAGAATTTTTAAGGACCAGACAAGAAAAATAGAAATATAGGATTTAAATTGTTTTTAAATAGAAAATGTGAGATTTAAATCGCAAATGAATTTATTGTATTACATTGTATCCGTAATATAATAAATTGTATGGGAAAATAGATTTATTGGTCTAGAATACCCTATTATTGAATAGCCGGCCATACAAAGTTGTATCACAACCTTTACTAAGAGTATATTTAGTTTCTACTGTCCGTTATGTCTACATACATACAGTACAGTAATAAGTTTCGATCCGTAATCAAGATACAGATTTTCAAAACTTTGTACACATATTTTCCAATTTAACAAACACAAATATATTAAAATAAATAAGATACAGGTGCAAGTTGATTGCGCGAATGTGTTGCTTGTTTCGATACTGCAAGCACATGCAATAGCATTTAAATACTAACTATCGAATGTATCAAAACTTATGATGAAAGTGGGGGTAATACGTGGTATTCCATTGTGTGCCATAAAAACAAGCATGTGTTGTAGACATCAATAGATATATTGATGTAAAAATACCCCTTTATTCTCACTTAAGATGCACGTAATGCCATTTATCGACTGAAATCAAAATATCAAAATATTTTAATAAAAGTCATTTAATATTAACGTAAAAGACACAACGATATTTAATACAAAACGATACAATAGAATAAATTTTTTGAAATTAGTATCTTGAAGGTGTTTATAATTTATGTTGTAGTGGTACAATAAAGTGAAATTTATTAACTGCAAGTAAATCATAGTTATGTTATTTCAAATTAACTGAATGACTGTTAAAAACAAACGAATATTATAACCTACCAATGGGATCTACTGTCTGAGCCTCGGATGCTTCTGGAGCTTTTTCTATTACTTCATCAGCAGCTTTTGTGGTTGTTTTGAAAGGACTGCCTGCCACTGTCGTATTAGTGCTGTGTGCAATCGTTACAATTTGAGATAAGTATTTTTCTTCAAATGAAATGTTTGTAAATAGAATTTACAAACCATGCAATTCCTCCTGCAGGAGCTTCTCGTTTAATGAGATTCTGCCAATGTTGATGTACTTCCTCGACTATATGCCAAGCAAAGTCTCTTGGTTTTGCCTCTCCATTAAATGCAAACTGATTCTCTGGTTTACCATCTGGTATTTTATAAATCTTGAACCATTCAATGGTAGCTTTCATCAAACCAGGATATTGCTTCTCAATATCAGATACATCTATAAAGAATATCATACATATTTGAATAAATCAGAGTACGATTAATCTAATCATCTGTGCTGTAGAATATAAATCTTACCATTCATTTGCTCTGCCAAAGGGTCATTGACATCAATAACAATAATCTTCCAATCTGTTTCGCCTAAAATTGGAAGAAATAAAATGACATATTTGGAGAAATAATTTTTAACTATTTATTTACTATTACACACCTTCATCAATAAGTGCAACACAACCCAAAACTTTTACCTTCAAGATCTCTCCTCTTTTGGCAACCTAATCACAAGGAACATTTTACTAAATACAAAATAAAATTTTCATTAATTGACATTTGAAAAATTCCTTACCCTGTAACCTATCTCAAGAACATCAATGGGATCATTATCTCCTTTGCATCCAGTAGCTTCATCCAATACTTCAGGATTTTCCCATGTCTATTTATAAAACAGTTTTTCATATGAATAGTCTATATTGTAAAACAACTTGCAAATTTATCAAAATATTTAAATAAAAGAAAGAAAAATCTTCTAGAGAATACATAAAAGTGTATAGAGAAATACTGAATGTTAGAAAATAGACACTATAGATAATGTACCCTTGAACCAAGACTAAGAGTTTACATAAGCTTTGATAAGATATTGCTCACACTCTTAAGCAGAATGTACACAGATAGAAAAATGTGTATGTGTCATACAATCATCATTCATTTTACTCTAGATTAATGTCAATGAAATTGATGATGTCATTTTATAAATGTTAAGTGATGTTACAAAAGGGGAAATGCATTATCACTTTAGTTATAAATCCTTTTGTATTCCACTTCCTTGTACTGATAACGTAATATCTTGATAATGATTTAATCAAGTGATAAAATTACTTGTGGCAGAGCACCATAATTCCAAATATATCCATGATGAGGGAAGCAATTGGCGACATATCTCAATTTGCCCTTTTTAACATCTTGTTTAATAGGATTCAATGTTTCTTTAAGATTGATCTCCATTTTTGCATTTGTCCATCTTGGTATCTCAACGATCATATTTAGTATTTTATTAGCTTCATCAGCATAAAGTGGAATGTCATGCATGGGAGAAATTGGGCCAGCATCATTTCCTATAATACATATAACATGTAACATGTATATAAAGATATATTTCTTCATAAATTCGATTTTCTTTATGCAAGAAAAAAATTGAAAAAAAATTAAAATTCAAAAAACTAATAATCTAACTAATAATATGGAAAAAAAATAAGGAAAAGGAATCACGATGTTAAAAGATAATTGACTTAATTTTGCAGTCTTGATAAAGAAATTACATCATATATAAAAACGTGATAAATAAAGATCATGACAAGCGAGGGATTTCTTGCGAAATATTTAAGAAAGACAAACTGTATGCTTGATGAAAATGAGTTCGCAGACTAATTAATTTTAATTGATATTTCAATTTTAATTGAATTATCAATTAACACTAGTGATAATATGAATGAACTACAAACATACATGAGAAATAAAATATCGAGAATTTCTATCAGGATGAAAATATTCGTATCCTTTCACCGAAGTTAAAAAATTTCACCTTGATATTATGCGGAATATTTTTCCTATTAAAATGACGAAACTCGCGCTCTAAATACGCAACTATTTCGAAAAACATCAATCGTTTCATGCATTAAGATATACAGAAAAAACTAACACGTGCAACAAAAAAAATATGTACGTGTAATAGCTAGTTCTAACGCTTATATTAAAAATGATATAAAATATGAGAGTCACGTTACGAAAAACACAACGCTGCATAATGACATGTTCGGAAACTGTAATAGTAACAGTAGTAGTAGTACTAAAAGTGATGACGACATGTTACCAAGATCGTTGGGACTATGCAGGGATCACGATTCAACTTTAAGGTTATGTTATTCATTACTTACTAAAATAAATCCTGTAATCGGTGGTGTTTGGTGCACCTCTTTCAATCGTTGTGTATGACATTTCTCTTACGTATTTCTTAAATAGAGAGCACGGTCTTACGTTTGTTAGTAGAGTGCCGGTCGCAGCCAATCTGATCGGAGTAGCCAACTTATTTAAACCTCGGCAACGTAACACGTGCAACGTTATCAACGACATCCTGACATCTAACGTCGATATTACGTAGCAGGATTTCCGCGTAATGCGCGAGCAAATAAAATTCTGATAATTTATTATCAGTCAAAGTAATATTTTTTTCCGAAGCTGGCGATCACCATCAATAGAAAACTTACAGCGGTATTTGTTCACTTACCATTCCAAATTGATACTAATATATTGACTAAAGTGGATACTGAACACTCTCTTAAACGCTTAATTGTAATCGAATATAATTCCAATCGGTAGTCAACAATATTGATGAGTCCTTCGTCGATGGCCATAGTTCACAGATAATGCAATGAAATATAGTTACAGTCCAATGATATTTCGATTATCCCGCGTTTTAATTATCTACTCAAAGTCGTTTTAATTCCGACTACTACAGATACAGACGAGGCATATGAATAGACCTAACATACAACATATATATAAACTAACATACGTATTTTTTTATCCCATTTTTTTAAATTTCAAGGTCCATTTTCGTGTCACATCCTGTTGTATCGATTTAGTCAGGTTTTGCATCGCAGCACTACCAGTGATGAGAATTTAAATCAAAAAGTATGACGGTGTTGTCACATCTGCTTCGAGAGTTATTTATAATTGACAATTTTTCATCTAGCAGATGAATATTTCCGTTCTTTTTTAAGAATTTCTCATGAATTTTATGTATTTAATTTAGACCAAAGTTTTTTATTTTTTATTCCAAGTTATCATTTCGTTTGGAATGCGCGATTACAGCGCCCCGACGGTGAAGTATTCGATACACTTCTTTTCGAACACAATCGATATTTCTCAGGATCGATTTTTAAACAGGAAGCATGGCGGAAAGGAACATACCTCATTTACAAAGAAGAAAGTATCATCCAGAAAAATCATCCAGAAAGAAGTATCATCCAGAAGTTCTCAAGTAAAAATATAAATCAATACTTGTTAGATTTGCATTTGTATTGTGAACTTTTAAGATAAAATGTCCACTTTTGGCTTCAACTCTATCTGCCAGATTACTAAAAACAGTGCATAATTTTTAGTCCCTAAAGTAAAATTTAACCAAACAATTATTACACATAATTTTCAACAATTAAAGAAACAATGGCATGTAAATATTTGAACAGAACGTACCATGTTTAATAGTTATTTATAATTTTATACCCAAACATAATTTCAATTTAAATAATTCGACAAACATTTCAAACAGTATAATGGATTTCAAAAATCATATTTCTGGCCACAGACATAATTCTCTTAGTAGAAGACATTCTCGCCTTCCTCACTCTATCATATATCTCTAACTCTCGGTATAATTCCAAACACACTGTTCCAAAAATAATAAAACTTTTTTTTCATAACTAATTCTGTTACCGAATTTTCCCTGGATACATCAAAACTAAATAAATATTATTCGCGAAAAATGTAATAATATTCTGAAGAGGAGTGACAGAAGGAAATTTAATTGATACAGTGAAAGTTCAACGTTGTGCCAAAGCTATATTTGGTGCGAAACAATATAAATTAGTGCTGCCCCTTATCTTAGTCATCTCTTTTTACATTCGAAAAATGTTCGTGAGATGCTAATAATTGTGCTAGCGCAATGCTGAGATAATAAAATCAAGGAACGCGGTGACTCTGGTGTAAACGCCAGGATATCCGGGTTCGGCACATTTATAACCATAAGATACAACTCCAATCTGGTAGAAGGTGGTGGACTTTTGTGGTAACATTAGTGGTCCTCCACTGTCACCCTGAAACAAAATTAAAAAATTTTCTATTAAAATCAATTAAACAATTTCAATTCAGTTGTATTACATTTATATGACAATTTATAATTAAAATTGGGAAGCAGTTGAAATTGTTAAAATACGATGACGCGAAGCTAAACTCCATCTTTTATGAAATTCTCAATTTCATTACGCGGTGAATGTTTTTAGAAATGAAGGACTTATTCCAATTTGTTTATTACAGCGAGACAGGAATTATTTGTATTGAAAATAAAATTTTTGAAAATAGCGTCATTTCTCTCTGCTTGTAGAGTCGATCAGTATAATCTAGGAGCAACTTACACGTGACTTTATCTATTTGAAAAGTCGAAAGTACCGATATTATTGATAGAAATCATTTAATTATTACTTGACAAGCATCCTTTCCGCCCTGAGCAAATCCGGCGCATATTACACGATTGTCGATCTCCGATTTAAATTTGGAATAAGCCTCGTTGCAAGCATCGTTGTTGACCACTGGTAATTGTGCCTCCAGTAACATGTCGCTGGCTGGCCCACCTATAAAAAGAATGAAAATTGAAATTTTCGAAATTACACAACATTGAGGAATTGCATTAATTCGAGACACTTACGGGATTGCTGTGATCCCCATCCGGCAACGAACGGATAATATCGATTGAAGTTGTTGTTTCGAAGGGAATCTTCTACCGGGAGACAAATAGGATATAGGTGTTCTGAAATGCGAAGAAAAAGTATAACGAACAGCACGATGAGTAGATTAAAAAATTTCAAGAAATGATTGATATCCGACGTGTTGGCTTGTTGGAGATTAAACGATCGTTTCTCACGTCGAATTTAAACTGGAACTGAAACATTAGATGTTGGAAACATTGTTGGAATAACATTAAATGTTGCCGAGATGTATTTAAAATTTTCGTTGATTATAGAGTAGATCCTAAATAGATAGAAACGTAGAAAGAGAAAAGTATAAGATTTCGAATGTATCAGTATCGAGATCCTTGAATAATTTCTTGAATAATTGTTTGAGAGCAATTTTGAAGGATTGCTCGAAGTTCGTGAAGAATAAGTATGATTAACGAACCTCGTTAATTTTTAATACGTGACTCTTTCAATCCCACATCATTAAAACTAATAGTTGCCTGCGGTTGGTTAGCTACATTCATTAATCATCCATTCGTCTCCTCCTTTATTCATCAGCCACGCGATAACACGTTTAAAATTGGACAATAATATTTATAAGACTTACCCGAAAATGGTACCTCCCGCGCCAATCTGAGAACAGCGATGTCGTTCACGTATGCCTTGGTATCGTAGCCAGGATGTATGATTTTCGACTCGACTTCTATTTGAACAGGATGTGCTCCGTCGTCGTCTTCTCTTATATTCAGATCCCCGATACGAACCACGTACAAATCGTTGCGTACCGCGCAATGTGCCGCGGTCAGAATGTGTCTGGCTGATATCAGTGAACCACCGCACAGCCATTTTGGTTGCGAAGGGTTTAGATTGTTGCGATAACCTAACGCAGCGATCCATGGCCAAGCACCTGTACATAAATTTCTGCATGTAAGTTCTTTCTCGCGAACTGAAGATTATTATTATTATTCGTTCTTACGCTGCATCTTTAATGAAATTTAGTAGAAATTAAATTTAATAAAGTCAAGTGAGAATTTTTTTTATTGTTGATACTTTCATTCGATCGTGTGGATCGATACAGAGATTCAACAAAAAAAAAAAAAAAATTAAACTTTGAGTTACAATTACGTATATCATCGTATATTTCGAAGTTAGCATATTTAATTTCAATCGTCTTATTCGCTTAACCATTATGAATAGGAATTAAAAAGAAACTTTTCCTAAATTTCGACTTAATGACTTGAAATTTAGAACACGTTGCTTATTGTTAGATTGTGAGGAATGGAAATAAGATAAAATTGGACGTACCAAGTTTAGCTTGCACACCACCAACCACCTTGGTGTGCTCAACGTCACTAAAACCACAGTATGGTGGATGCAAAGGCCCGTACACGTTTTCTTTCACAATTGGTTCTTCTCTTCCTCGTTTTTCCGGGCAGCAAACGATCGGATCGTAGTTGTCGAAACTGCACACCGATTGCCTCAGAAAATCACCAGCTGCAAGGCCATCTGTCTGTAGCAAAGTCAACAGGGGCTGACAATTTCTGATATTGATGCATACGCCGAGTTGTTGATCCGGTGTAGTACAACTTTGGCCTAAAAATAAGATTGAAAAGTATTCAGAGAGAGCTGCGGTGAATTTTTGAACGATTGTTAGAAGAATTTGAAACTGTTAAATCTGTTTTAAAAAAAATTCGTATGTTGCTCTCGTCATGGAATTTAAAGTGGACAAATTTTGGCAATTTTGGGAATTGAAGGGCACACGGGAAATGTAATATTTTATCATTATTAATTGGGTCATCTTCCAATCAAAAGCTTTTGTAGTCATTACTAATCATAGTATAGAGCAATGATGGTGAACCTATGACCCGCGGGTCAGACACTGACTTTTTAAATGACCCACGCGTTGATTTTTATAAACTTATCATCATATATATAAAAGAATTTTAATTATTTTTCGAAACCCCTCTTTTCAAAAAATGTTAAGAAAATTACGAGTGTTCGGTTAGAGTTTAAAAGTGAGAAATAAATGCACAATTGTGTTTTATGGAGGATTTACGACTTGGTTATACATAGATATAGGTATTTTAAGTCTTAAATGTTAAATGAGTTAGTTGTGTCCAAAAAATTTCATATAACGCTTACGATTAAACAGATGTAATAAACACTAAAAAACACAGATCCCATTTTCAGAATGGGTAGCTTTGCTAGTTTTTTATATAATAAAAGAGAGAACAGACAATAAAAAATATTAAGAAATAAAGTATATATATATATATCTAATGTATAGTGCAAGGGTGACTGGGCATGATGTCACCCCTTTTATATCAATTTTTCGACGTCGACATTTATTTGTTGCTCTTCACTTGCAAAAGTAAAAGTTGTAAAACAAAAAGAAAACGTAAACTTTTTAGAGGATTATAAAAGTGAGAATCAAAGAAAAGTAGTTTTTAACCATCCTCCTCTCCCCCTTTCCAAGTAACGCCACTGACTTAGTGACCGACGAGCTAGTACTAAAAAAATAATGAACAAAATTTGACCTGTTTCTCAAACAGCAGTTCTCTGTCACTGGTATAGAGAGAATGAAAATAGTAGAGATCTATAGAAATTGAGCTTCTCACGTCAGAACTAATAGGATCACGAAAGATGATTCAGTTAGTAAAAAATCAGGTTAACAGATATTGAATTACTCGAATGAATAGCTTCTAGCTATCGAATTGTAGGATTTCTGATTGAAAAAATGAGAAATGAATTCGTCTCCTCTGACCAACAAACTGAATAAAATTTACACATCTTTATACATCTCTCTATATTTATACAATTTACACATCTTTCTCACGCCATACTTAACCACATGTAAGTTTTGAACACATCGTTCACTTGCTCATTCCTGAACAACACAATCAAACTGCAAACACACTTCGTTCGCATCATCAAAACAAAAACAACTATTAGTCACAGTAGTTGAAAATGGGAAGTACGAAGCACATCTCCGGAATCCCCCCATATTATAATTCGTTACATCAAATAAAATAGCTTCGAAACGTTTTTGTACGTGTGAATGCGAAGTATGTGAGTCCATTTTCTATACATACGTACATAGAAAAATTGTAATCTAACGTAACATATTATACGTGATATCACGATCGTCGTTGCCGCGAGGGAAACGCTTATGTTAATTTATAAACGATGTTTATCACCGATGTTTCTCGGAAGATACGCCGAAGGATGCAATATTTCCCTCTCCTACGTTGCGTAATTTCCTACGCGAAACGCAGGACTTCTGTTCTCTAGAACGTTGATACCCGATCGAACATTGATATTCGTAATATTTGAGCGCGGTTTTCCGGAAGCGCGACACATAGTACATATGCCTCTGTGTGTGTGTGTGTGTGTGTGTACATTGGTTTTCCACGTTGATCGACGACACGTTGATAATTGCACGCTTGGTGCAAAAATACTCGTCGTAACGGTGATATCATCGTAAATTCGAAATGACACGAGAATGCGTGCATCTCGAAAGTACGTATCTATATTGAACCGTCTTGTTAGCGTGTCTCCTGCGTCTTGTAAAATGTAAATCAACGTGTAATGGAGCTGTTTCTGCTAATTCGGCTCATTTTGAATTGCAGAAACAAGTAAATTACAGAGATAGAAAGATTCCGAATCGATGCTAAATTATGTCTGATAGGTGTGCTCGAGGGGGGTATCAAACAGGTTTCGAGATTGGAAAGTCCAAATTGTCGAGTGAAGTTATTAAAAATTTCTATTTATTGTATTACTTGTATACCGTGCTATATTATATGTATATTAAGTATGTTACATTAGTAATATTAGCATTACAAGTAATACACAGTATACTTGTATTATACTGTACGTAAAAAAGTATCATAGGGAAGATAAATTTTATGATATGTAAAACTTGTCCAGTTCGTACACACTACTTGAATCCATGAAGATTTCTGATCAATCATCAAAAATACAAAAAAAAAAAAAACATTTTAATATCACAAAAATTACATAAGAAGGGAGTGACATCTGTTCAGCTTTAAAATCTACTTTTCCTATAGTCGTCACACGTCTTATATTACCGTTATTGTATGATATTTATATAATATACACACTAGTTGCTATCTATAGAATAACTCTTGTACTGTTATTCTATAATTATATTGTGTATTTTATCGCGTCACATATTAGCTACAGCTTATTATTAGACTGATTTATTATTAGACTATTAATGGCCTATATTATCAATCTTCGTGTTGTATATATTCGCGATGATTTTCATTCATGGCTTGACCACCGGTCACCGGTAAAACCACGTGAAAGTCTTCTCTCAACAGTTCCAAAGTGCGGACCTTGGTTGTATTCGGACAAGTGAGCGTCACCGATTACTCAACTCTCTCGGCAAAATCCGATCAAGTTCACTGGATTCCCCGACAGACTAATCCCTTTTCATTCGATGCATCGATCCATAACGCAGCAATGAGTCATCGATCAATTATCTCAAATAATTCATCGAATAATTATCTCGAATAATTCATCGAATAATTATCTCGAGAGACTTTCGACGAGAAAACAGGATTTTTATCGATTACACGTTACGAAATTCTTTGAACTTCACCTCTTTCTTCAGGATCATTTTCTCAAACCTCTAACTGTTTTTAAGGCTTTGTTTTAATGAAAAGCAAGCTTCTAGGAATTTTTAATTATTAATTGGCGAAACTCTTCAGTAAATTAGTTTTAATTGGAAGGATCCTAAGTTGCGTCTAGTTACGTTGAAGCTTGATTGAAAATTTCTGACGAGGTACACTTTCTTCATACCACTGTGTTAGATAATACGTACTCATGATCATTTCATACACCAGTCATTGAAGTCATTGGTTAAAGTAACGGAATATTTTCTACGGAGCTAAAAAGAAAAAAGAGAATGAGAAAACAAATATGAATGATTGAGTTGAATTGACTCTTCGTGATCTCCTCGAAAATGAAAAGCCAAGCGTGTTCGCGTTTATTTCACGTTGTCGCGCGTGTTTTCGTTGATGATAAATAAAATAGGGAAACGAAAATAATTGTTGCACGTTTGCAGAATATCGAAAATGTACGAAGGCTACGTGACGAAATTCTATTGGAATCTGAAGTACATGGAAAAGAGACAACTCGCACAAACCTTGAGCGGATACCACGTGCACTAGTGGATGCAAGAGGCCAATTAGCACCAAATATATAAACAGCATCTTGGAATTCGCCATTGTTCTGAAATAAAAAAGAAATGAAAAGGAAGAACAATAATAATGAAGAATATTGGATCGTATTATATTGTATTATATTGTACTTATTGTACTGAGATGAAATGAAAATTGTGTTGTACTTATTGTCCTGAGATGAAATGAAAATTAAAAGCGAATTGAAAAATGATGAAACGACAAAAGAAGTTTAATTCGCATTGTGAAGTGAATGTACATTACAAACGTGAAACAGTTCACAGAAAAGAGAGACATCATTGAAATATACATATATCTATAATTTAGTTTAATGCTAGAACTATTGAATTTATCGAGATGACTTTAGTTAGCTTTTATAATTTTATCTTTGCTAAATCACTAAAAAAACATAACATAAATGTACTAATGTTTATATGTATACACAATGTAAACACAAAATATGTATACATAATACAAAATAATACAAAAAATACATGAACATAATATCGACTTTCATTGAGGTAATAATGTAATTATAAGAGATTTGGAGGAAAAAATGATATTTAGAGAATTAAATGTGGTAGAATTTAAAATTAAATGTTTAGAGAATTCAATAAAAGAATCTGGACATTTCTAAATATGAAATAATTATAATGTTTCTATATGTACTCTGGAAGAGATTCATAGAAATTTATTACAAATTTCTATAGATAAGTACGAATTTTATTACATTCTACTAAAAAAAAATCCACATGTACCACATTTTCTCTAACTCCTTATCTCGTAAATACTCATTTTTATCATTGTTGCATAATTATAATTATCTGCATATATCGCACTTCATTGCACAATGAAAAGCCGATAATTCTAGCATTAATATTTATATATTGACAAAAATACGTGAGACGGAAATAAAAACTTTTGCACGTAACATCAATGAAAACATCATGCAAAATTTGGTTCTATGATAAACGAAGTTTGCTCGTGTCACACGAACAAACTTAATTGATCTGACATGAGAAATAGTTCACTTGTGGGTGCAGAATTAAAATAAAATTAAAAACGTTATTAAAATTAAAAACGTTAATTAAGTAGAAACGAATCGCAGCAAATGTTACAAACCTGTAAATAAAAATGAAAGGCGAATCACAACAAGCGTACAAATTAAATTAAAAAAACGAGTCACAGCAGATGTTAGAAGATGTTAGAAACCGTCCTCTCGCGCACTCAGCGGCTGACTGAGAGACGTTCGTCAACGATGTTCACTTTTGCAAAAATTTTATAATTCTTCAACACCTGATGCTTTACGCACGCGCAATAATTATGTCAATAGCGTGTAGCATATAGTATCACGCTCTCTCGAAAGAGAGACTGACGCTTGATTTTTCGGGAATCATTCTTTTCTTCGCTATATCCCTACCATGGGTGCTCTGCTCTTTCCTCTGAACATTTTCATGGAATTCCCTTCGCTCGTCACGTTCGGTGAATTTAGCGATTACCTCCTTGATCGAAACGTCATATTTAAATCAGAAAAGTGTCTGCCTCGCATAATAACATATATCGTATTTGCATGGCTGGTTTTCAGAAAACTGAAACATGTATGAATCGTTAAAACTATTGTAAATCTATAAACGAGCGTTTCGTTGGAATTATTGGATGTTCTTTCATTCCGTAAGTAAATCTTTGATTATAGGTGTTAACTGTTAGCCAAATTTGGGATTCTTCTTTCTTCCTATTTTTTTTTTTTTTTTTTTCATGTTCCTACGTTTTCAAATATCTCTTGGAAAATTTGAAAAGGGAGAGACTGATAGTTCTTCTGTTGAGACTTTCGTGGTGTGCGAAGAAATAATTGCGTACAATGTAGATTGATTTACACGTATTAAATACGCGGTGATTTCAATGCCCGTAGCCTAGAACGTGTAGTTGAGTGTGATGTTTAAATCATAAAAATGTCAAAAAATCCTTACGAATATGATGTTGAACAGTCTAGATAATTGTGCTAGGTTTTATTTTTTAATAAATCTCTCTCATAATTTCGTTTTTCTAAAATTATTTTGACGCAAGGATTATTATGTATTTCCCGTTTATTATGTCGAAAGTGTAACGAATAATCACGCTCAATTCACAGAATTCATAATTAATTTGATAGCATCATTGTGAAAAAATAGTTGAATCAAAAACAACGGAATTTCCAGCACAAAGTGTATTTTTATGATTGATTACTTTGTCTCATGCATTTATTTAATTCGTATCATTTTTATTTTTCTCGTTACATGATTTATTGAATAAAAACAGTTATTCATAATAATTCTGGTCATCGAGTAAATTAAAATGATACAATGCCACGTGAGTACGACCTCAACCTCAATCTCTGCTCAACGAAGAAATTTTATTTACCAATGACTTATAATTATACGCGATTATTATGAAACTTCTCGAAAAACGAACATTAACTTGTTGCCATTTCTAATATTCAAAACGAAATTCTGTTTTAAATGAAAATAATTGGAACATACAATAAATAATTATAGTAGCGAAGATATTCGGCCCTTATTTAACTTTGTAATCCTCCTTCGTTCTGATCGTCTGTTAGTGTAATTTTTACTAATTAGCACAATGATATACCCGATAGATAATTTTAATTTTTTTTTTTTTGTATAACATTCCAAATTTCCCGTTCGTTAGAAATCAAGAGAATAAAAAAATTAAAATTGAGGTAATATTATTTATTTACAACTGATTTATTTACATACGACTTGTTATACAATTGATGCACTATTGTAATAAGTACATTCGGTCTATAAATTTAATTTTGTAAAATATTCTGCTTACAGAATAAATTATGTTACATTTTATTTTCTAAAATAACACTGTACATAACGATTACACTTTTAAAATAATAAATAGATGAATTATACAATTGAACAGACCACTATAACATTTGTCCGAATTTTACTTGTACTTTTGGTATTGATACAAGCAGAAAGATAAATCATTTAATAATTTTGTGGTAGTTTATTTTATGCTAAATATATATAGTTACTACATTAGAGATAGTGTTGTAAAATTTAAAAGAATAAAAAGTTCGTGATTGTTTGCAATTTATGTACATTATTTAGAGTTATGCAAAGATATCAATTTCTTTTATCACAGAAGTATTTTCTCATTTATATGTATGCAACCATGCAACGGATGAAGCATATGTCACCTATAGTGGAAAAGAGTTTTCCTATACTTAACATTTCCTTTATGTGCATACGAATATTTATTCTTCGCGTAGCATGAAATTACGAATAAATCTGGAAAACTGTTTAATCTGAAAAGAGAAATAGGTTATTAATATTGTTCATCAATGCAAGATCCTAAAATTTTTATTTTGTCTTGCAAAAAGAGAAGGCAAGAGAAGGTCTTCTTTAAATGTGAAATAAAAAGCAAAGAATTGAAAACAGATTTTTCGGAAATTTACTTGCAAGCATCACTTTCAATATCGCGATTCTCATCCCAATGGTACTGTGCTTCCAAATCTTCCAGTATTCTTCTAAAAACAAAAAGTCGACACTGGTTATTTTTGACATTAGCGTCACAAGGAATAGAAGCATTAGGAAACACCTCTTTTCTATGATTTATTTTTAAACATATAAATGAGAAATTTAGCTTTTGTTTTTTCATTAAAGAATTTATTTTTCTTAATGTGCTTCAATAGTTAATTGTTACATTAAAACTTTTCACGTACTTTTCATATTTAACAATTTCCTAGTAACAATTAGTTTAAAGTTACATATGTCACGAATTCAAAAATATGTACAATACATTTCTGTAATTGTGTAGATATATAGTAATACAATTGTATGTATAGTACAATTTTATAATTAAGTAGTTAATTGCTTAAAAAGATTAAAATTCTATTTAAACGTTTTACTAACGTTTTTCCAAAGTTTGAAACAATATAACTTTATTTATAAAAAAGGAAATTGTGTCTACTTATTTTTAATCATAATGCTATGTCTTACTAATACTAAGTCATCTTTCGTTTTCTTTTTTAATTCATTTCATTATTTATACGCAACATGTGAAAATTCACATATTGTTTGATATTCTTTACATATTATCCATCCACTGGATAATATCTCCTGAAAAATGAAAATAATAATGTTACATTATAAGGATGCATCTTCAATTTCATTTTCTAACAAGTTCTAAATCCAATATATCTTCTATAATTATTCATCAAAAATTTCAAAATAGTGGCAGAACTTACTTTTCAAATCACGTGTAACATATATATTTCTACTTACCTATAACTCTTTGCTCCTAAACGTCGTTTTCTCATATAGAACATTACTAATGCTCCTATAATTCCTACCAATGTCATAGATATTGTAGTGGCTATAACTAGATAAACAAAAGATAGTTAATAACTGTGAGGATAACGATGAGTAATTCTTACTTACATATCATTCGATACGCAATCACTGTGATATCCTGCTGATGTTTCTTAAGGCACTTGGTTAGGTGTGATATAGTACCATTCCCTACCGGACACTGTACATCGAGTATTTTACAAAACAGCGGAAATAAATCTAAATTATTGAAAGGTTCGAGTTTGCACTTAGGCATAAATGCAGGGCCATTTGCAAAGAAGAAAGGATGCATCTCTATTGCCTCATTATCATAACCGTGAAGGCCGAATTCTGAATCACTATTCACTAAAAATAAACATTCCAGAAAGATTAATATATTCTTTCATTTTCTAATATATACTTGAATTAACAGTTCCAAGTTGTAGGTTCCGAATCATATAGTCTACCTGTGACGTTAAACTTCTTCTTATAGTATTCTATGGTATCAAGAAGGTTTTGAAATGCATATCCAATTTCGGCAATAACAAAAATAGGACCAATACGCGTATTATTTCCATAGTGATATTTCTTAGGAATTTCTTCTCGTTTATAAACTCTGAATGTTTTTGTTTTCAATGCTGCCTCTTTCAATGTTTGATAAATTATTTCTTCTTTGCCTAAATAGATGATTCATTTATTTTACTTAATTTTACATTAAAAAACAAACTTAATAAGTCACCGACATACCAGGATTGGGGAAAATGTGTAATCCTGGAGAGGTACCCACAAATTTGTAATCAGAACTATTAATATATTTTGTTAAATCTATTATCCTGTCTAATTTAACAGTTGCCATTCCATGATCACTTAAATGAACAATATTGAGATCATGTAAACCGTGGTACTCTATCTTATTGTGAAGATATTTAGTAATATTATCTAATTTCCTAAGAATATCATCAAATTCAGATCCTTTTATTCCAATCATATGCCCGTGATAGTCTGGCTCTTCAATATACAATATTCCAAAATTGATTGGATGTATAGGATGGATAAACCATGATATCAAAGTATCAATTCTTTCTTCCCATGGTATGGATTCATTGAAATTCTGGTGGAATGAAAAGAATTAATTTTTCACGTTACAATTACATAATTTGAATTTAGTTGAATTTAACACAAGATATAAACCTGAGCAAACGTAGGAGTGACTCCTTCGTATTCAAAAATACCACCTGGCCACATCATTGTGCCACTTCGCCTTTGTGCGCCTGCTTTTTGATTGACAGTCTACAGATATACACATAAATGTATATTTTTATAGCTTTGATAAGATAAATACTTATGTGATGTACATGTTAATACGTCTGCTTTACATACCCAAATAGGAAGAACTTTATTATTATAATGATACAGATTGTATGAGTATTTTGTTGTGTTTCCAGAAACGGGATCATAAAATTCATTGTCCACAACTCCGTGTGTTTCTGCGTACAATCCTGTGGCCATTGTATGATGATTGGGAAATGTTTTTGTGACAAAAATGTTCATCATGTAATCCACGTATGTGCCTTCATGTTTTAATTTGTTCATAAATGGCGTTAAGTTTCTGTCAAAGTAGTCGTATCTATAAAATGAAAGAAAATCGATTAAAAAGGTTATTAAGATATAGATAACAATTAAAGAGCAATAACATACCTAAATGCATCATATGATATTACTAGCAACTTTGGATGCTGTGATATCAATAATCCATGTTTCACATTGAGCAATATAACAAGTAACAAACTGAACATGGTTGAAGAATTCATAATGAATAGTTCTTTAATGAAAAGAATGTTTATCTTTTTTAAATAATAAATTATTGCTCCGTTTCCTTCATGCTTTCAAACCATTTCAGAGTTTTCCTCGACCTGGATTTAAGATTAAAAATATCTAGTTATTAACTGTTACACGGGAGATATACATTTTTTTTTAAATAAAAAAAATATATTATTTCCCACAGATATGATTCCTCGAATTCGATAATGTTTGAGAAATTCCATTGAGTAACACTGACTGTAAATCACTAGAATGGTTGTTTTACATGATAAAAAAAAAATTAAAGATACTAAATATCCCCCATTTATGAGCACCGTTTGCCAAGAACTAAACGTTTTCTCGTGTCCTTATCTGTCACGAACTGTGAAACTACAAAGTAACGACAGTTCACTCTCTTTCTATTCTCTGATCGCACCGTATCTTTTTGCAACGATGAGTTTGCTAAATGGACATCCAGTACAATAAGAAAAATTAAAATACAATAATACAATTCTACAATAAGGATTACGAATAAATCTACTAGACAAAAAATAATTAAAAATTGAGAGTAGATAGTAATATTAATAAAATATAAAATATAATGAAACAACTATTTTAGTATAATAACCGCAAGTAATTAAACAAACGAGGCCGAACCTTAAAAACACTTGTACTGTCTATGGGTATAGATGAACGTACGTGACAAACACGTATTTTTCAAAATAGTAATTGACTTTTCTTGCATAGTTGGAATGTAATCGAGCGAATTTTTACGCGAAATCCTCCTTCGTTTCAAATGTTGGCGAACTTGTTTTTTCACTGCAAGCGTGTTGGATAAATCGCAGCGAACAAGAGTGCGTTCACGCGACTGACACTGACAGATGTTCAAAGCTGCGGTGCACCATATCCGGAGATGAGCCGCGCTCGATATTTTCTTACCTTCGCATGAAGAATCGTCTTTCGTTCCCATTATCCTTCACGTACCACGTGGACGTTAAATATCGGTATTTGAACACCTATATCAGTTAGATGACGGCGATACGCCGTGTGTTAACAGGTCATGGGGGCCTGTTTCGGCCGCTGCATTTCCAAAGTTACAGACTCCTTGTCGTACAGGTTAGAATTATGCATTTTTCATCTGAAAAATAAAAACGTATGTCCCTTGTGTATGATGTTCATTTCCAGACTATGGATGTCCATCTAACTTTGTATTTTGATAAGTGTGGCTAAAGAAATGAAACTCAAATATAAATTTCTTTCACTTACACTTGAATATTACAACAAACACTTTCATTTTGGCTATTCAGTGTATATCTTATATGTTACATAAGTCTGTAGATTTCTACGATTTTTTATTTTTCATAGATACATGGACGTTAATCGTTTAATCATTTTCGTTCATTGCATTTAATTCATTGCGGCGTTACTCCATTATTTCTCTTTCTTAATGTAGTGTACATTTAAATTTAAGGTTTTATCAAAGACACACCAGTATGTCCTACCAAGGAGACGAACAAGTTGAGGTACATATAATTTTATTTCAGTATTTTCATTGGAAAATCTTAATGCCTAGTTATTATATTATCGATATTTAAGATTGTCTGTTTCATAGTTTATAGATGACAAAGGAGATGCAGACCAACCTAGAGGATCAAAAACGTAAGGAACCGTATTAAATTTTAGGGCGATGTTTCATTTTCGTTGTATTAATTACATACTTCATTGTTATGCTTCCCTGGATAGCCTGTTATCATTTCTCTCCTTAAACCGATTCAAGGTAATTGGATTTGGTTTCTTAGAACTTTTATGTACTTGGGACATAGTAAATCTGTTTATTAATGTGATTATTGATTCTAATTATTCAATGACTTCACTTAATTATCAGATTTTATTATCAAAAAAAGGTTTTTAACCTTTGTAATAAATATTTGTAGAAAAAACATGGGGTTCCTGTAACATTAGAATTATTGGAAGATGGTGCATGGTCCAAGGGTACTAATAAATATGCCAGATTAAACTCAAGGAATAATGCTTCTACAAGGTATAATGACCATCTGAATCATAACAATTATCCTATAACAATTAACTAGAATGAAATAATGTTCGAAATTTGTTAGTTCTGGTTTGGATACACCACTTCAAATTCTTGATGCAAGAACATTAATGAAACAACAGGCATGTGTTTCTTCTACTCCTGGCTCATCATTAGATTTAGAGTGGGAACACGAAGGTAAAGGAATGTTCTTAGTTTAAATATCCAGAGTTATATGATATATATTTGTAAGATACAAAAGGAAAAGAAATCATGGTATGTTTAGGAATGCCTCTACCAATTATGGACGATGAAAAAGTTGAAAGTACTGACGGTTCTATAACACAAACGTCGGTAAATAATAGCCAACCCTCTAGCTTGACAGCATCTCCTTGGTCTAGGGTGTCAACACCAAATAGTTTAGAATGGGATCCGGTGGAAGCGGATATGGTATGTGTTGATTTAGAGACTGAACAGCTTTTGACTGAGATAGAAAGATTAACGGATAGAGCGTTAAAGGAAACGGGAGAATGGACTAATGCTAGTTGATAAATAATGCATTTACAATTAAACAGGATTGTTTGTATTTTTGTATTACAAGAAAGAGTACACAATGGAATTAATGTATATGAAATACTTTTAGAAAACAAAAAAAAAAAGAAAAAGAAGATTCTACTGTTTCAATATTTGTATTGTTGAAACGATATGAAGATATATTTATATTGTTTCAAGGTATATATACATACATGTATAAGTTAATATAATTCGCATAGAATTTTAAAGAAAGGTATATTACCTGGGGATACTTTACAACAATTTATTACTAAAAAAAAAAAAAAAAATGCCAATGATGAGAATTTTTTATATTATGCATATGTATATGAATTTTACATATGCAAAAAAGAAAAAAAAGAAAAAAGAGAAACATTTCATTTGACTCCTGGACTTAAAACATACAAATATTTAGTGTGTGTTGTTTAGTTTTTTATTTCATATTGGTTTTACATCCAGATATTTTTATTCTAATTTCACTCGACTTCCACAGGACAATAACTTTCTTCCTATTAATAATTTCCGTATTACATTTTTAACAAAAAAACTAAATTTTTTAATATAATTTTGATATTTTTATGTTATTTATTTATTTTTAAACCAAAGATGTCTTTTTCTTTTTTATGTCAGATTGTTATAAAGGATATTGATCTCGGTTTTTTTTCATACACATACTATCACATAGTGTACACATATATTACTGTAACCTTTTGAAGCATAAACAAATGACATGGAAAAGATTACTTTACTTGTTTCAAATTTTTCATAAAAGATGAATTTCTTATTCAAATATCATAACGAAAATACGTATATATGAATGAGTAACTTTGCTTCAAATGGTTAAACAGTACATATCATCATTGTAATAATATAAATTTTCTTACGTTTGTGAAGTTTACTATTCGTTATTTAACTTAGATAGGGGAAAAAAATTTAGAGGCGAAAATTAAGGTTGAAATGTATCAGGTGCTATCAATGCAATATATTTTTTGCCAGTGAAATTATAAACAGCTTTTTCTGGAGAGATTTTCTTTCGAAGCTTAGTATATCTTATAATTAGCCATATTTTATACGAGAAAGACTACTACATAGTCTGAATAAAATCTAGTCACAATGAAATTCTGTGAATCTCTGTAAAATTCAAAATGAGAAAGAAAGGGAGAGCAAGAAAGGATAAGGTGGTACTGATATATTAGTGTTGATACATATTTGGGTGTACAAAAACATGTTTCTACTGAAATTAAATTATTACGAGATAATTAGGTTACAATTTTAGATAGATTGTCGGTTATCGATAAATAAATAAGTTTCAAACTGAGGTAGGTTGCCTTACAATAGATAAAGAGAATATAAAAGTTTATCAATAATGCTGTAATTTTCGATTGCGTAATTTTTAAGATCATAAGTTTGCTGATAATTTGTATTATGAGCGAATCAAAATGTATGCAGCAATAGTACAGATAGTAACGTTAATGATACTGAAAATGAAAATGTTAAATGACAAAGATGCGGTATACTAATAATTCAGTGCCATGGCTATTTATGCACTCTATAGGTTCTATCTCTCATTATAATTTATTTTGAACTCCAAAAATTGAAATTAAATTTTTTGGATACGTATTATACATATATATAAAGTAAAAGGAAGTAAAGTTTGTGAAGATTTAAATTAAATTGCATGATAAACGCACAGAGATATTAGTTGAGCATAATGTATGTGGCTTAGCAGTAATACCTATGTTAATTGATACATAATCTATATAAACTGATACATATTGTTCAGTATGGAGAAAAATGGAAAGGTGCTTTAAACGATAAAAAAGGAAGATTATAAAGCGCTTGCATTCTGTTAATAACAAAATAAATACATTATTTAAATGAGAGTTAAGTAAAGTTGATACTTCGATGATTCTAATCTAATCTAATGAATAATGAATGCAAAGAATATCAAACTTAAACTTGACTTGCTATAAACCTGTTTTGTGCTATAAAATTTTCGTTGGGAAGTTTGTTTCTTATTATTTACCAAATGTTTGTTTAGCGAATGTGCATGTCAAAAGCATCTTAAGAATTTTAAGTGCTTCAACATAATAGGGACCAAAAATATTTTCAGTATTAAATCTTTTCATTGAAAGGCTAATATTGAAGGCTTGTATTGAAATGATTATTTTATTAAAGTTATGATTGCATAACATCAATTGACCGACTATTTTATATTTAATCCTAGGATTAATTGATATTTTTCGACTCCAGATATTGAATAGCATTATATATATGTTCCATATACGGAGGACTAATTTATAATTGTATCAGTTTTGAAGTTGCAAACAAAATTTATCACTGTTGGCTTTAAGAATATTTATCTGCGCCTAGCATTAGATATCGTTTATATTTCGTGCACAGCTGTTCACACTTCATTGTGAGTTTGCGATATGTAAAAATTAACACTGTGCATCGTCTACTGCGTATTAAAATACGACTATTATAATTAAAAAAATACGTAACAAAACCGTTATAGAACGGTATTTTATATTAGTATTTTTTTTTTATTTAAATGAAATTTTGTGTAGCATAGTATGAAGTACAATAAGTTGCATAGACTTTTTTTGTCATCAATAACGAATTAAAAATTTCCAAATCTAATATTATATAACGTCACAAGATATACTTTCTTTCGTGTTTCTATTCCATATATGAATTCTTCAGCATATAAAAACTGGCCAACGAGTATAAAGTTGAATGTGAAAATGAATTAAAAGAAAAATTATTGTATTATGATAGATGTTAAAATGAATATGTTTATATGCTTTAATAAATAGTTACTTTATTATATTTTTATGTACATGCAACAAGAAATGACAGATGTACTTTGTACCTGAGTACCCTTCTTAATTTCTCTTTAATTAACTATTACACATAAATATAATGAAACCATGTTTAGTATGGTCCCATGATATTTTATTTTTGTATAATTATAATTTAAAAAATTTTAAATTTAAACGAATGCTTGAAACTTAAAACAAAGTCATAATGTACAGTGCTCCAAAGTACATATGGGTTTAAGTACATATGAGTATATATTATTCATACATTTAAAATTAATGTTTAATCATGCGTTAGCTTAATATGTGATAATATACATATATATTATTTCTGTAATATGGAGTACATTTCTGGATTGAGAAAGATAGAAAGAATAATTGGTATTATATTTGTACTGCAGTTAAGTATTTTTTTATAACTGGTGTATTTGTTTTTGATTTTTATGTGCACAGTTTCGTGAAATACAACGTAATAGTTCAACTTATGTTAAATTTATATTAGTTATATACAATTCTAACACATGAGTTATCTACATCTATATAACAATAAAGAAGAAAAAAATACAAGATTATAATTTCACAGACGTGGAATTAAAGTTCACCTTCACAAAAGATATTGATTTTATTGTGGAATAAATTTGATTAAAAAAGTGTTTTCTCAATTTTTTGTACAAATACGGTATGATTTTGATAAAAGTAATACATTTGTTTAACACTGATCTAATTTACACATAACTAAACAAATATATATATATATATATATATACATAAATATATATATATATAAATTATTAACTAAGTATGCATGTTAAATGCAATTTGTAGCTCCTTTTATTATGCATTGCAAGTATATATTATATATCAAAAAGTTAAAAAGACATCTAAAAGATAACTAAATACCACCAATTAAAAAACAAAATAACGTAATATATAAATCTTGTGTTTATACGCAAAAACAACTAGTTTCTATAATTTTATAATTTTTAATATAAGAGAAAGATAAAGAAAGAGATGTATACTACAGTGAATATTTCAATGCAATCTCTGTCACATATTATTTTCATGAGAAGTTCTGGTTATTTCTAGTGTGTATAAATTTGACATCTTCTAAGTTTAAAAATGTTTCATAAAATGTGTATAAAATTTACTTCGTTTGTTAACATACTTACAGTCATAACGTTTTGTTACATTTAGAATAATTTAAACAAGAAATAGCCGTCGTAAAACAAGTAGAATTATCGCTGATACTAAGGAAGCGATCAGAATGCTCCAAAATAAATCGTTCGAAGATGACATCGTTTCTACTTGTTGATTTACTATGACATCAGACTGTTGTCGATCTTGAGTCTCATTAATAATTGGCTCGATACCGCGTTGTCTCAGTTGGTTCTCAGATACAGTATCTGAATTGACTAAGTAAGATGTATCTGAAGTGGGTGAGTCATCAGCCTAAAAATGCAATTTTCAAAAATGCACGACATGAATTTGATGTGATAACAGATGAAAAAGTACCTTTAATGCTATTGTGTTTAACATAGTTTGCTCTTCTACTGTGATAGGTTTTTTGACTGTATTCTTTGACAACAAATCAACAACTTTGCCGCAAGTATCGCATTGCCAGTTTAGTGATCTGCGATGAAACATTTTTATCGTGTTATCAATGCTTTCAATCTTACATTAACAATATCGAAATTAAGAAATCATGTAGATTACTTTTTTGCAAGCTTCTGCCTTTCTTCTTTACTATAATCTAAAGAACCAATTGTCCCATTCCCTGGTGTTGGCATAAAGGCAATTAAAGCCAACAAAGCTGTTCTGATACTCCACGAAGGTTGCCATGTTTCCGGATGATGGCCAGAAATGCTTAGGCAAATCTTTTTGTTGGTTTCAAAACGTCCATTGGGCTGAAAAGAAAATCATATCCGATATACTTTCATTTCTGACGTACAGCTGAAAAATCAGCCTTAAAATTAGCTTACGGTTAACAATATTATGTTTGGGGGTTTCATAGGGTATTCTGGTGGTAACAAAATTCTGCCATGGTAAACACCACCTTCGAAGTCTGTGGATGGTGGTCCTTGTACAGTGAAATGCCATTCAAAAAGATTGTCCTCTAAAGGAGATGCACAATATTCTTCCGTAGCTTCGTGGAGCTCTTGAGCCTCTCTCATTAATCTCTTCACGGCTGAAATTTCATTTGTTAGATAATGCAAAGATAATGCTACATAATACTGCATGTGGTACCAGTCTAAAGAATACTTATTGCAAGAGAATGTTCAGCGTTACATATGACCAGATAACGCGGAGTCAATTCTCATAGATAACAAATGATTTCGTGGAATCGTAGAAATACGTATGCAGCGTATGTTGTTCGACGTGAAATAGCGAGCGCAACGAACGAACGGACAAACCAAAAAGTGGAAAAGGATCGGGACAGTTTCGTGAACTCACCGGGACTTTTCGCATTGTATTTCCCCTCGAATGACATTTCCGAGCGAGTGTCTCGACTGAGGTTAAACTGGAATAAAAATAGTACTTGAGCTGAGTGCTATCTGCCCTTGTCAAACAGCCTCGATACACCGACGTAGTCAGCTACAATACATTCTTCACATTTTTTCCCGGGATAAACTCGATCATTCGAAATGTGTATATTGCATCACGGGCCAACGACGAAATTAATTTTGACGTGGCCTAATACGAGCGGCGCGTACAGAAACGCACAAAAAATAACGTGAAAGTGGCTACAGCTTATTCCGTGCACGCGCACTTATGTTAGTTTTCACTTGCTTGAAGTTGTTCGCCGATGAACGTGCGCAGAGGCCACGCCGCTCCGACTGCGAATTATCCTGAAATTTCGAAACGCTTTGACAACGATTCAAATGATTTTCTCGAGTCATTTACGCGCGATCTCACCTCAGTCTTATATAGTATAGTATAGTTGTCTTGTCAAATCAATAATAAAAAAAATAATGTTTGATCATTGAGGATAAATGAATTGCTCATCTGAATAATTTTTGAATATTTTAAACTTTACGACCGACAAGTCAAAAGAGTCAGACTTATGTAATATGCCTCTTTTATTGTCTATATTTTTTTTTTTTTTTTTTGCAAGTATTTAAAGCCATAGAAGATTTAAACATCAAAGAGGAGTGGTTACATAATTTACGAATCATCCGACGTCAGCGCGATTAAATTGCTGCGACTATTGTTTTACGCTCGTTCTGTAAGATTCGATTACAATCACAAGATAAATGACGTCAATAAAATTATATATATGTATATTCATATGATTATACTGAAAATTATAATAAAATTATATATATATGTATATTCATATGATTATATTGAAAAAAAAAAACGTACTGTTGCTGAATACAAGTTTCCTGAAAGACAAGAGAGGAAACGAAATGAAACGTGGATACATTCGTGGAAATTATAGACTTTATTTTTAGAATATTCTGAATATCATAAAACAACATAAACATTCACAACAAATGGGAATAGGGTGTTATTTATAATAGTAATAATAATAATGTCATTACGTTATCGTAATAATTAATTGTTATGAATATGTCATCGTGACGTATTTATAATTATGTATAAGTAAGATCTTTCATTTAATTTTTAGCAATTATCCGTCGTACCTTCATCGTTTTTCACTTTTTTTTTTTTCTCGTTTACTGATAATAATCATAATAATAGAGATAGTGGCCATATTTAATAATAATGATAATTATCGTAATTCGTAACAATAAGAATAATAGTAATAATAATAATAATAGTCATAATGTTTCTATACGTACGTTGTCATGTATATGTATAGATATATAAACAAATATAATTATGCTTATCCCGTAAGAAGAGATAGAAGTTCACAATGGCGCTAAACAATGTATGCAATGCAGTTCGCTTTTTTTTTGTTTGTTTGTTGGTTGTTGTTGCTGTTTGTTCCTGTTGTTGTTACTCTCATCATGTTTCGATAAAGTCGTATAGTCGAAGGTCTTAGGAATAAGATTTCTCGTAATAGTAAATAGATAATAGTAAACGTGCGTATGTACAGTTTTATCGTTGAATGCCATTCTTCGAATGCCGCAAATATAAGTTCGATTATGGTTCATGCAGTGTTTTGTGCAAAACTAGGCGGATACACTTTTCACAGATCTATTATATAATACCACGAAGTGTCTTGTTTCCAATTGATTCAACAATCCGCTCGTCAACTACGACGACGATCGATCGATTAACGATCGATTTCATAATCATCTTTGTTGCTTGACCTACGATTACGTTCGTCGCATTTTTTTTTTTTTTTCCCTCCTTTCTCAAGCAATTATGCGTACAAGTGTATCCGCCGGACAATCATTGCATAAAACTTGACGAGAGAAACGAAGACTAAGGCTACGATTTCCCTGGAAAAATTGGTTAAAATCGCGACTAAGCGCGTCATCCTTGCCCGATCAACCTTTCTCATCATGACACATTACTCACGATCGATTTCACCTCTGTTCCGTTACAATATTTTCCACTCTTTCGGCATAACTGCTCGGTTAACTGGTTCCCATTACCCGGAAGGCAGTTTTATTTGCACACGTGGAAGAAACGAAAAAGTCCACGATGCATTCGACGACGATTCGTAATGCCTGCTTTCTCTCTCTTTTTCTCTCTCTCGCTTGACCACCGCTTCTATGGATCTAGGAGTACAGGGATGCAACATTTATTCGTAATTTACTATACAGAATATAGAACGATGAATTATTTCATATCAAAATGTCTGTTTTTTTTTTTAATTAATTTATAGACTCCAACGAATTCGTGAGTAATTATTTGAGTCTAATGAGTAATTTAGTCACGAGCGATTCATGAGTAATTAAGTGACTGACAATGTTCATAGTTAACAGTACAAAGAAAAAAACGGTCAAAAAGAACAATCAAGTGTCACAGTTCAACTGAACTTATGTTCCAACCTCGTATTCCTAGATCTATATCCTATAACACCACCATGCATTACAACCTCCACGTATTTCGCCTATGTTTTTTCGTATTTTTCATGTTTTATTTTTTTTTCATTTTTTTCTGGTTTCATTGTTAACTCGATATGTACATACGATTACCGATATAAGATTAATGATGGATCACAAATCGCGTTTTAGCAAGCAGTCAATGACATTTAACGATAATTACAAAATAATGGTGAGCCATATGGTATATAGATATATACACACACACGCGCGCGCGCGCGCGCGAAACTTCTATATATATGTATAAGTATATTTATTTTACTGTTCCGCGGTGATAATACACAATGATCAGTCGTAACAGGTACATAAAAGTGATTTGTCGGCGAGTTCGATCGATTGTATATCGCGTTTGCGACAAACGATCGCGCACGATTGTACGACAGCTCGTTCAAAACTTCGGTACGGAAGCTTTTCATCGATTTGTAACGTAACGTACGTACATACGTGTCGAATTTGTGTCATGTGTTGGAAAGCAAGTTGGAAAATAAGAGAACGAAGATGATCTCGTTGTTCGATATATCGTCGGGAGTGTCGACTAATCTCTGTGTGCAACGCGGGGAGGAAAGACCGATTTGACACGCGATCGATCGAATTCGTCATTGAATCGCAACGAACGCCGCAGGAAAAGCAACGAACGACATCCGGTGCCACGGTAGAAAATTTTGTTTCCCAAAACTTTCTCATTCAAAACGGGTCCACGATTCGTGTCAAATATCACGAAGAACGAGATCAGATTCACAATCTTCTTCTTTTTCTTGTTCATCATCATCGTCATCATCATTATCATCATCTTCTTCTTCTTCTTCTTCTTCTTCTTTCTGCTTCTGTCCTTTCAGCAAAGTTGCATTAAACCAGTCGGATTCGTTCAAACGACAGGAGAACCTTTCCCTGAGATTGAGAGAAGATACTTTCGAAATTTCGCGAATCCGTTTCGCACGGGGAAAGCTTCCGCTGACTGAACATCCGACCACGTAATATTATACCGTGTATATTATTATATATATCTAGCTTATGGTCTTGTGTATGCGTTTACGCGTGTATTCGCTTCCTTCGTTCTTGCCTCTTCTCTATGCGCGTGTATGTGTGTGTATATATACGTATATCAAAGAGATGAGAATGCATGTGTAACTTAACTCGGTATGTATACATATTATATGAGTATATACATGTATATAACCGTCTATAAGTCATCGCAAAAATTCTGTTCCCCGAACGTGCGCCATCTTATCGAGTTGTACGCGCCAATGAGGCTATTGTATTGCTTGTCGATAATCGAAAGAGGTTTTCCCGCTGGGTATGCGAACAACCATACCTGTGTCTTTTTCTTTTTTCCTTCTTTATTTTCACGGTTTACTTCCCTTGGCAGATAGAACTCGAAGAGTCAACGAAGGATGATTAGAAAAGATTGCTTTATCCGCGTCCTTTGAGAAACATTAGTGTCATTATTATTATTATTATTATTATTATCATTGTTGTTGTTGTTGCTGCTGCTGATGATGTTGTTGCTGTTATTATTATTATTATTATTATTATTATTATTATTATTATCATCATTTCGAAGGTATCTATCATTTTGTTCGAAGATTCGTAAAGAAAAAAAAAAAGGAACTCTGCAAAATTTCCGGTGCAGATTGTATTTCGTTATCTCTCATTCTCTTTTTTCGTTTTTTTTTTTTTTTTCGTATTGTTAAAAATTCCGGTGTAACTCTTCTTCGTTAAAGCGTTTACATTGTGTGGTTCCTTGATAATAACGCAATCGCAGATTATTTCTTTCGATATTTTCGTGTTACGTGTTTCTTGTTTTCTTTTTCTTTTTTTCTTCTTCGCGCTGCCCCTTCCTTCGACTTGCCTCCTTATCGAAAAATCTAGATACTAAACATCGACGCATATGACTTCGGGTGGCGCTACAAATCGCGGAGTAACATTAGACAGAAATAGAAAGAGATATAAAGAGAGATAGAGAAAAAGAGTGCGTGTCTTTGAAAAATGTAGATAAAATGGTAAAATCCTCGTTTTTTTTTAGCTTGTTCTCCTTTTGCTCGTATCACGGAGGGACAAAAAATCTCGAACGAGTTTCGTAACAATCTAAGAGATCGCTGATCCACCCTCGCTGCTCGATTTCCCTTCGATTCGATCGAGTTCTAGTTCGTAAAGTTATACATGTCACTAAAAAAAAAAAAAAAACATGCACGATTATATTGCACGCTGGCCTTTTCGTATGTAGAGATTCGCGAGTTTTCCTCTCTCGCTTTCTTTCTCTTTGTTTTCATTTTGCTTTCTCTTCGCTTAATCGTTACAAAGAAAAAAAAAAAAAAAAAAAAAAAAGAAAGAAAGAAAGAAAGAAAGAAAGAAAAAGAAAAAACAGAGTTTAAGTGCTTTCTTAAATATTCCTGCAAGGTGTTGGATGTTATTTCTATGGGAATACTGGGGAAATATATTACTGCTCTCGCATTGAGAAATATTATTAAGCTACCACTGTTAAAAAGATATTAGAGGAGGCTGCTGCTTCTCGAAAGTTCGTCCACTTTCTAATTCATTTCGTCCCCGCAGTCGAATGTAAATGGTGCTCTGCAAGCGTACGCGAAGGCCGTGGAAGCATCGAGCCAAAGAGAGATCAAACTGTTGTGCCTGCACGAGGTGGCTTGGTGTCATCTGATTCGTCTGAGCTACGAAGAAGCTTACCGATCTCTCACGCAACTGCGGCAACAGTCTAGGTGGTCGGTGAGCTTCTACGCTTATTTAGCAACTGGTATGAAGCATATTTATTTCATTTCACGTTTGTCCTCTTACGATTTATTTTTGATAAATTCTTGAAATATTTCCCTCGCAGTTTGCTGCGGAGCGATCGGTAAATTCGACGTGGTCGCCTCGTCCTACCGGAAGATCCTCCACTGTGACAATCGAATGAACAAAGAGACTCAACTGGGCTTGTTCGTTCTGCGCCGAACTCCCAAACTTCTCGATCAGGAAACTGGCCAGCCTTACACTGTTTTGTACTACAGGCTGCTCGTGTACGAATTATTATATCTATGGAACGCGATGCCGTCCTGCTCTGTAGACTCATTGCAAGGGATACTTTTAGGTAATCGAAGATTTGCTTCGTTCGAAATTTTGTTCTGTTTAGTACTATTATATTTAATATACTGCGTAGTGTTATGTCGTCTCATTCAATTTTATTTGCTTCCTTAAAGGATTAATTTCGAAATTTTGTTCATTGTGTTGTCAGCTATGTAGTATCATAATGTTGTATGAAACTTTGTTCTGTTTAGTATTATTATGTTTAGTATACTGCATAATGTTATGTCGACTCATTCAATTTTATTTGCTTCCTTGAAGAATTAATTTTTAGTACACTGCGTGGCGTTATGACACGTTGAAATTAAATTTTATTTACTTCCTTAAAGGATTAATTTCGAAATTTTATTCCTTGTGTTGTGATCTATGCAGTATCATAATGTTGTATGAAATTTTGTTGTTTAGTACTATTATATTTAGTATATTGCATAGTGTTATGTCGTCTCATTCAATTTTATTTGCTTCCTTAAAGGATTAATTTCGAAATTTTGTTCATTGTGTTGTCAGCTATGTAGTATCATAATGTTGTATGAAACTTTGTTCTGTTTAGTATTATTATGTTTAGTATACTGCATAATGTTATGTCGACTCATTCAATTTTATTTGCTTCCTTGAAGAATTAATTTTTAGTACACTGCGTGGCGTTATGACACGTTGAAATTAAATTTTATTTGCTTCCTTAAAGGATTAATTTCGAAATTTTATTCCTTGTGTTGTGATCTATGCAGTATCATAATGTTGTATGAAATTTTGTT